GATTGATTGTCACATTATAACGCTCCCACGACTGAAAGGGCGAGCATGTTTGGTGGGACGGGGATTTAAACCCGCGACCCGCAGATTGGGAATTGAGCGCCCCCTAACCACCTGGCCAAGCCGGACAAAGTAACTTAATATGTAGTATAAATATGGCTCTGAAACACTCCGTACCACGTTGAGGTTTTATTTACTGAAACTTATGATCTTTATGTGCCTTTGGAAAAACTTAATTCCATTACGACAAGTAGCTTGAAGATATAATAATGTCAAAAATGGAACTTTCTTTATAATTACACATTAGGCTTAAGTTTAATGTGGTAAGACAGTCATTTACATAGACGTTTTGTGCATACTAAAGAAAGAAAAAAGATATATAAATTTCAACATTTTTGTTCACTGCTGCAAACTGCCTGCTACTTGCTATCGTATTATCACAATTGGCTAACCGAAGCTCTGCTATATCTCAGACGAAAGTAAGAGGGAGAATAAAATAAATTTAACAATTCCTAACGTGCATGAGTTGAATAATTTGTAAAATAATGCTCATAAACGTCTTGAGATATTGATGAAAAATCGTGCTTGAGAACTTCATGAACAACAGTGTTTTTTTACAATCATGCCATCTGATGTTATTTCTAATATCTGATCTCTGGGTTTATATCAAAATTTCATTTGATCTTTCGAATTTTGTCAAAGGAGTTTTTCAGACTATTCAACAGAAAAACATCAAATCATTTAGAAAAATAATTTCCGTTTCTTGAAAGTGTTATTAACTTTTCAAACAAGGAGAAACCAAATTACAAATGATGAAAATAAGATAAACCAAAGACTTTGCTTACGATAACAGAAACGTTATTCAGTGAAGTTTAAACGTAGATATTATTATAAAATATTGATGTTTCTTTAATTCGTTTAATTATTGAAATTAGGATCGTTACTCGTTAATGAATGGCCAAAACCAAGCAATTACTAACGATACAAAGTAAAAATAAGTTATAATATTTTGTGGAGTCCATACATTAACTCCCCCTCAGAAAAAACAAAAACGTACATCACGTATATAATAGTTAAACGAACCGCCTAAACATCACGTTAGTGTACCATTTATAATGTGTAAAGTTTAGTATACTCTAATCCCTTATAGTGATGGCACACGACGAGACACAC